AAAAAAAAAAAAAAAAAAGTTTAAATACTGAAAATTGCAATTATTTATTTTTAATTTTGACATTTTTAAATTTTTTTAACAGCAAATCTGAATGATCTTGACGGTATGAGATTTTTCGTACAAAATATTTCAAATAAGAGAGTTTTTTGCAATTTCTAATGGGTATGAGGGTATATTACAATTGAAAACGTTTTTAGTAAGATTTTTTGCCATTAATCCTTTAAAATTTTGATAAATGTCACAACTCACCTCATCAATTATCAAACCTCACAAAAATACCCCCAAGATCATAAACTAGTCAGCCACGACTCAGATTTATATTTTGATAAATAAAAATTATTTTTCTTTAAAATTTTGATATTCGGCTGATGTTTCTGTGAAGAAAAAATCAGAGGATATTCTATTCGGGATTGAAGGTGATCGTTATCAATTCATTTTCCTCAAATGATCATGAGCAATTTATTTGGATGTAAATCTGCAAAAATTCAAACCAAATAATTAACATTTGGCCCTTGCAGCTTCCCAAAATATTTCAAACGAACACCGTGGTAACGTGGTTTCTCCCTCCAACTATCCGGGCCCACGTAAAACAACAAAACCATAATCCTCATTATCAAGCCATCACATGTTTTCTAGCGTTCGATTCATTCTTCATCGACGGACCATATTCGCCCAGTTCAAAAAACACGGATCATTATTAACAACCGTTGATAAACGATATAAAATAACGAACACGATTTTTTCCATTCAATAACGCCCCCTATATGAACACACCCCAATTTCCAAATCCATATCATTAATCAATCATAATTCAGAGGGTGCCTGTATCTCAGTTAACAGAAGACGACAATGTCGGGTCGAGGCAAGGGCGGCAAGGGTTTGGGAAAGGGCGGGGCCAAGCGCCACCGCAAGGTGCTAAGAGACAATATCCAAGGCATCACTAAGCCGGCGATTCGGCGGTTGGCTCGTCGTGGCGGCGTTAAGCGTATCAGCGGCCTCATTTACGAGGAGACTCGTGGCGTCCTTAAGATCTTCTTGGAAAATGTAATCCGTGATGCCGTCACATACACAGAGCATGCTCGCCGGAAAACGGTCACTGCCATGGATGTTGTTTATGCTCTCAAGAGACAAGGCCGCACGCTCTATGGTTTTGGAGGCTGATTTCTGGGGATTAGTGGTTTGGCTTCTGGTGTAAATGTATTGTTTCATTTTGGTCAGGGTATTTAGTTAGTCTTGCATCTGTTCTGATATCTCAATGTATTAGTCTCTCTTAGAATTGTACTCTTTTTTTGATGACTAAATGAAATTCTCTTTTCAATTTCGGATTTCAATCCATTTGAACAATTCTGAATTATTGAAGTTTTGGTTAACTTCTATTTTCTCTGTGTTTTGTAGTAGTAGAAAATTGAATTTGCCCTCTGCTTCTTAATGATTGTCGTGAATCAGTTGGCCTTTTCAAAAGAATTTGTCCACGAATTCAAGGAAAATTCCTTCTGAAGGTTGTTACTTCCCTGATTCATCTTCCAAAACCAGCAATTATGCTACAATTTTTTTTTAATTTTTTTTAAATTTTTTGTAAACGGCAGGAGATTCGTTGTACGAAAGGAATTCTCTTTTTCTCTGCATCAATCACCATGTAATTGATATGTTCTACGATTTTGTACAAAAATATTTTAGGGCCTATTTGAGCCTTTGTTTTGTAAACTACATTTTGAAATTGAAGATTAAAAATGATTGAAAAGTTTTTTTTTTTTGTATTTCCTGAATAACATTATTTTATTGAATAATATGAGTTTGGAATGAAAAAAGAAAAAAAAATATATTTTAGAAAAATAAGATTAATGATTTTATTTATAGTATTTGAATTACTATTTTAATAAACTAAATAATAGAGCTCGTTGATTCAAATTTTAGTAATTTTTTAATCACGAGGAGTTGAAATGTTAAGATACAATTTAACCTTCGTTTGGCACCCATTTTTTCTTATTTTCATTTTCATTATTTTTCTTTTTCTTCATTTCAATCATACATTCTATCAATAAAATAATATTACACATAAACCTAAATATTTTCCTTACTTTTTATTTTTTAACTACACATTTTTCCATCAATCATTATTCAAAAACACATTTTTTTTACTAAAATGGGTTGATGGATATTATTTTGGAATAATAGATTGATGGAGAATGTGTGGTTGAAAAAGAAAGAAAAATTATTGATGTGATGGAAAATATTATTTTAATGGAGAATGTGTGGTTGAAAATGAATAGAAAAATGAAAATGAAAATTTTAATGGGTACCAAATAGGGGCCTAGTATTATTAAATTTTTAATTATTCGTGATCATAAGTAATGACTAGATATGAATATCATTATTGTGGATAAATCATCATGTGTGACCATTTTTACTTGTGAAGTAAATAATTGATTTCATGAACCAATGTGTAATGAATATTTAAATGAACACGTGAATATTTTGTTTTAAAATAAAATATTGGAGACCCCGCTAGAATGTTCCTCTATGGATAACTATGAGTGTCAAATGTTAGTTTCTAATGTTCGATTGTGGAATTGATTCTTCAATTTGAGGTCATCATAGTATTTTATATGAAGACATTATATTTTGGTAATCTTGAATGTTGCTTTGTCGAGAATCGCTAATACGACATCGTTTGGATATGTTAAGAATCATGTGAAATTTGTGAATGATCAATAGAAGATTCATAACTTTAAAATAGTAAGAGATTATGATTTATATTTAATTCAATTAAGTTGATAACAAGATTCTTAACCAAGATGTACTCAAAAGTCTAAAAAGATTTTTGACTTACATTAGTTTAATAGTGGGATGAAATAATATGATCAATAATCAAGACAACATACTTTTCATATAACGTAATTGATCGGATCATATTGAAGATCAGATTATAGTTTCATGGTAAACAAACAAGTTTGGAATTGTCATACCAAATGACATTTTTCGTCACACCAGATGACATTTTTCATTCGTCACACTAGATGTCATTTTTCGCCATATATGTTGTCCTGACATATTGCTAGATGACAATTTGAGACGACATATATAAATTGATGATAAATTAAAAATGAGCATTTTAATTTATCGATTAAATTAGATCAAAATAACAATTTAAGTCGTTAGATATTGTGATTGAGAATTTAATAAGTTACATACAAAAGAAGAACTAAAAGAATGATATTTATTAATTAAATGATAAGCGTTGGACAATTAATAAATTATGTTGCTTATTAACATGCTGAATTAATTAACTAAATTAATTAATTTATGGACCAAATTAAGTTTAAGAAGACGGTCAAGCCCACTTGGACTTCTTTTAATAAACTATTAGGGTTTGATAATTATATCTTGTTTGATTCCCTTTTTTTTGAAATACATTCTTCTCTCTATTCCTTTCAACCGCACATTTTTCAATAAAATAATATTAGATGCAACTCGAAAACTTTTCCTTCATTTTTAACAACAAATTTTTCATCAATCAACTATTCCAAAATGTATTCAACACAAAAATTGGGCTCAAACATGCCCTTAATATGAGACAATTCATTGTATTGGCAACACAAGAAAAGAAAAACCTCAATTCTTTCATTCTTGTTCCCTGTGTGAATTTCCATTGAAGATTGACAATTGAAAAAACTGTAGATTGCATATTGTAATTATTTGGATTCAAAATACACAAAGGAGTTCATAGAATTCAACAAATGTAGAATTGTTATCACAGTTTTTTTTTATCTAAACATAAAGCAATTCTTTTGTGGAAATTGAAAGTATTTTTATTATTTGTTGTGCATAATTAAGTAAATTCTCAACACACGAAATTTTTTACCATTTCTCACGATGGCTTTGAATAAGTTTGTGCTACTTTTTGTAACGATTTTGGGATTTCAAGGGAGACGACCAGTTTTGTTTAGTTAAAAAGTCGACAAAAATTTAAAGAGGAAAGCCATTTGTACAGAAAACCTCTTCACAGAGGTCTTACCGACCCTCACATGAGGTGGGTCCCGATGTGGGATCCACCTAATTAGAAATTGATTCAAAAATTTTCCCCCCACCCTTGTGTGTAATCTGTAGAATTTCTGTGAAACTACACTTCTGTAAGTGTAGCTCGGTTCAAATTTAAATTATAGTTAACAATTAATTTTAATCACAAGTACATTGTTTATTAATTTTTAATTATATATTTTGTTAATTTTTATTGAAATACGCTACAAAATCTAATTTTAATTCTCCGATTGTGACATTCTTATTTAGAGCGGAAAACAACCAAATTCTGGGATTTCTTAGATCTTGAGATTCTTGAGCAAGAGGAAGAGGTAGGCCATTGAAGAATTCCTAAGTGACAACCCAATACTTAGCCATTGTTTGAAAATCAATATTTGAAAAAAAAAGTATTTTACATATTTATTCTCAATCACACAATAAAATTTTCATGTATGAATGCATGGTCCCTATTTAAATATATTTGTGAATTAATTTTCTTTCGAGAGGTTCATGTTTGGTTTAGCACATACTAACAAATAACATAGTGCTCGATGAGGGTATGGGAAGATACCCCAATATACCTTGTGCATTTTATAAATTTGAATCATCAGATATTTGAGGATAGTATATGAAAATAGGTCTAACGTATCCGAGAAATCGTTAAAAAAATTAGATTAACAGCGAAAACTGAAAAATCAGAATGGATTAAATGGTGGGGTCGGATTCCTAGTGCTTTACTCTTTGAATTATTCTAAACTCATTCTCACAATCTTTTATGTATTTTATTAAACTTCTGTAGTATATATTAGAAAATAATACAACTCAACTTTTGAAATGTGTGTGTCGACTAACGCTAGGCTTTATTTGAGTCAAAACTAAATTTGCGATCCTCACTAAAGATTTTTTTTTCTTTTTTTCCTCATCAAATCTTGTTATTCTACATTGGGACAATGTAATTTTGGGGTAGATTCGTTTGTTTGCTTTGCATTTGAGTCAATTTTTTTGAAAAAAAAAAATCCAAAAATGCTAATCTATTTAGCCTATGTTTGGACTCTAATATCCAAAAATACATTTTTCTCTTCTTATTTTTAATAATACATTTTTCAATGAAATAATATTATACGTAAATTTTGTTATTCTGGAATATAAAAACCTCGTTCAAATATTACGACATAATTACCTTGAAGTAATTGAACAGCGTAACATGTTTGATCAACATGATCACAATATAAATTCGAGCCAATCGAGTTCACGATATTTCCTTAAAACGAATTTGCTTCTTTCTAATGTGTTAAAGACGTTCATGAATCGTTTCTCAGGATATAACAAATCTCATCTAATATCACATCAAAGTTTCATATCTTTCTTGTGTGGGACAAGTGTGTGGGAATTTTCCAATAAATCAAATTCGTCACTAGTTCATAGTTGCAAGTGGGTTACTTTGACATTAAATATTTCATTAAATTCTAAATTGTTTTCAATAAATAAATATATCACGTCGCGGAATAGAACGTGAATATGCTTGGTCCCATTATAATCGATGTACGGGTCGCACTCAAAATGGGAATCAAAGTTGACCCATTTCACTAAACCATTTCCAACAAATTTTAAAGTTTTTCTTATTTTTAATTACACATCCGTCAAAATATATATTTAACGGAACCCAAACAAAGACTTGTATTCTTTTGATGGATAATATGTTAAATTTCGAGGTTGAAAGATATTGCCATGATTGTGCTTTTAACTCATTACCTTGTTTCGTGTTGGATTTAATGCACTCGAACACTTCTTTCAAAAATGGGATACATGCTTATCCTTCCTCCCCTCAAAAGTATTTTACAAAAATTTTGAAGTATTTCAATATTCTTGTTAAGCTAGACAACAATATTTTTTGCTCTTCATTTTGCTTTTTCTCTCATTTTCTATTTTGAAATAATTAAAATAGAGAGTCTGTTAGAGCTTATTTTTAACTTTAAACATCAACTTTTCAATGTAGAGAGTATCTTGTATTTAGAGAATTTCTTGAAAATGCTCTCTTTAGTATTCTTCGATAACTTTACCTAAATTCCTAGAAAACATTTTATAAAAGGATACCACAGTCATTTTACATGACGAAATAAACTTTGGGCAATTATATTCACAAC